AGCCCTTGCCACTCCCTCAGTCCCCCGGCCCTCACTTTGCCTCCAGAGAGCTCCTTGGTATCCTCAAAGATGCGATCCACATGGCCAGTGAACTCCTCAAAATCAGGAATGACAAACTTCTTTCGGAATGCCTGGGTCAGGAGTACAATGTTGCTTCTCACACACCTGGATTCCAGACATGAGTGGGTCAGGGAGCTGGAGAGGTGCAGCTGTGACCCACGCTGGAGTCACAGAAATTGGGAATAAATAAGGTGTGAGGAGTCATCAGGTTTGGGACCAATAGTGGTGTGACCTTTGGCACGTCTCATTATCTTTCTGGGTCTTAAGTTTCTTTGCCTCTAAAATGAGGGGTTGGAATAATGTGGGAAGATATCTCAAGGAAAATAAATACCCAGATAATATTTTAAAATCCCAAATATTTATATTTTAATAAAATATTTATATTTTAAAAAGCCTAAATCATATAAACATATTTACATATACTTTTACATGAATGTAAATGCATAGGACATTATCTAAAAGATACCCACTCAGCCCTGGCCGGGCAGCTCAGCAGGTCAGAGCATCATCCCGATTTACCAGGATGCAGGTTTGGTCCCTAGAGTCAGGGCACATACAGGAAGCAACCAAGGAGTGCATAAATGAGTGGAACAACAAATCGATGTTTCTCTCTCTCTATCTAAAAAGATAAAATAAAAATAAAAATAAAAGATATCCACTAATCTGTTAATGTTATTTACTTCTTGGAAATGGAACTGGGATTGGGGAGACAGGGAGAGGAGAACATGTGTTTCTGCACTGTTTGAATCCCCACAATGAGTACATGCAGACGTGTGTGTTAACTTGTGTAACAGACAAATAACAAAATAAAATGAGGGGTTGAACTATCCAATCCTCAAGATCCCTCCCTGCTGTTACAATCTATGCCCAAAAACAGCTGTGAGAGAAGTATTCTTGTTTCTGGGGTCCTCACTTTTGGAAGAGATCCCGGTCTAAGAGGCCACCACTGCTGGACTCCCGAACCATGCGGCGCATCTGGCTCAAGCAGTCCCGGAGCCGGGGATCTGACGTCTGCAGCCCAGTAGCCTTCAGTGCCTTTAGGGTAAAGAAGAAGCTGGTCAGGTCAGCTACAAGGACAGTAATTTAATCCTAATAATCTTTCCTGATGGATAACAATCAGCTCAACCCTAACTACTACATTAGGTGTGACAAATGGGTTCCCACACTAAGAAAGGGGGGAATGGAGCAGCTTTGAAGGCTAAAGGGGGTTTCCTGCCCTTTTTCATCGTGGCAGCCGGTTTCTGAACTCCTTGGATCAAAGTCCCAAACCAAGATGGGTTGAGTCAGAGGGTTTAACCTTCCTACCCTGGGCAAGGAATGGGATTGTCTCCTCAGCCTAGGCATCTACTGTTCATCCTCATGAAACAACCCATTGTTAGCTGCCCTGCGCTTTTTCTACCCTCCATTCCCCACTTTCGAGAGATCCCAGGGATTAGGGTTCTGAGCAGGTGGAGAGGAACTTACAGTAGTGAACTTGTGGATAGGGATTCGTTCCTGTCCCTCAGCAATAGTGTAGAAGAGCAGATCACCCAAGCGGGACAGCATGCCACTCCCTGATGAATCGCTGTTTGGGGGCAGAGATGGGGAAGAAGGCAGGAACCTGAGAGCTGCAGCCTGCTCCTCCTTCTGGAACACGGGTGTCCTTGCCCTGGGCCTCCTCCCTGAGCTATCTGATCCATCCCTGTAATTCCAGCTTTCACATCTGTCCTGTTCTTGACCTTTATTTCCCTTCTAGATACTTGCCTTTCTAGATGTCCCACACACACCACAATCTCAGCATGTCCAAATGTGAGGTCATTTCACCTCCTTCCCCCCTGCTCCTCTTCCTGTGTTTCCATCTGGGTTCACAGTACTACCACTTATCCAGGTGCCAATCATTTGGATAATTCCTTATATCCATGTTCAGTTGGTAACATTGGGTGAGTCTATTTTCATAGTATCTCAGATCCACCCTCTTTTCTTCTCTTCCCCGGAGCCAGCATGGTATATAGTAGAAAGAACCAGAGTTTATCCCTTAATAGCTGCGTGATCTTAATATGGATAGTAGGGTTTTTAATACTGTTGGACTTGCTTCCTCATCTATAAAGTAAGGGTAGTAATGTCTGCTTTACAGGGGTGATGTGGGGCTTTATTAAAACAACATTCCACAAAAACTGTCTTTCACAAAGTAGATGCTTGGCAAATCATGCTTCCTTATCATCAACTCCTTATTGTCTGTTACCTAACACTACTATACTCTCTTGACTTTCAACTCATCTTCCACAATGTGTCAGGTATCTTTGTAAAACTCAAATATCATCTCTCTACTTAAAAACTTTGACTGTGAACCAAAGCATCGAAGTTTGATTCCCAGTCAGGGCACATGCCTGGGTTGCAGGCCACAGCCCCCAGCAACGGCACATTGATGTCTCTCTCTCTCTCTCTTTCTCCTTCTCTTCCCTCTCTAAAAATAAAAATATATAAAATGTTAAAAAAAAACTCTGAGAGCTCCATAGTGTCTAAAAGCAAGTTCTTAGTTCCTGCTATGGCACTGAAGGCTCTTTAGAACCTGCTAACACTCCTTTCCTGTTCTTCACCGTGCCCCCGTACCCCAGTTACACCAGGTGGCTCCCCAGACAGGCCAGGCACTGTCAGGCTTCCTGGCCTTTGCTTATGCTAAAACTTCTGCATGGACTAACCTTTTTCTCCTTCATGTTGCACAGTCCTGCTTCTTCTTCAAGGTCCAGATCAAATGTTACTAACTCCATAAAGGCTTCCCAAACCTCCAGATTTTGCTATGCTGTTGGTGGGACCCAACACACCACCTTATTGACAAAAGATCTTCCCTTGTTCCACTGTTAGGTCTTTGTGATTTATGTATTTCTGTCTTCCTAGTATTGAGCAACATACTTAGCACATAGTGGGTCTTCAGTAAAGAATTACTTAGTTACATTTGTAGAAAGTTCTGTGTTCACCAAATTCTCTCTCTAGCTGGCTTACAACACTTAAACTTCCAAGTACTGGAGACTTTTTGGTCTTCCAGAGTTCTCCCATTAATATATTAACAGGTTTGGAGGAATTATTGATCAGATCATTCCAAATATGACAGCTATTTGAGATTAAGACCTTTCAGAACCTATTGGCCCAACAATTTGACTTCCAGGTATTTACCCTGTAAGTGTACTCGCACGCCTACAAAGTAGCATATTCCCTGCAGAGGGTTTTACTGTCAGTGATAGTAAGACTGGAAACAACCTAAATGTGCATCAACAGGGAACTGAATAGGTAAACTATAGTATATTCATATATTGGAATATTATGCAGTATAAAAAGAAGTGAGAGTGTGCATAATATGAGGGTGATTTAATGTGATGTAATATTAACTAAAGAAACAGGCTGTAAAACATTGGTTTTAGCATGGTACTATTCATGTTTAAAAGGAAAGAATATATAAACATATGGACACACACACCCATATACACACAAACACACACATATTTGACCTTTCAGGCACAAAATATTTCTGGAAGGCTGATTTATCTCTCCCTTGGGAGATGAAGCAGGTGCTCGGAAGAGCAGTGGGAGGAAGGGATATTTCCTATTATATATCTTTTTATATATTTTGAATTTTGAACCATATGGATATGCATATATATTATTTACTGAATATGATATATATGAATGTGAATATATTAACTGTTGAAATAATGCATTAAAAATAAAAAGCCTCTCAAGAAACTTGGCATAAACTAGGGATGTGAGTGTATGTATTTTGTTCAAGGAGGAATACCAAGGGGGGGGGGTTCCTGTTTCTGAGGAAATCCAATGGTCACAATGAGACCAATGCCTATAGTGAGGATTCATGTGGTGACAGAGGGAGATGAAAAAGATATCTTAGGAATACCCCAAGAAGGAAAACACACAGGAACACTTTGAGGGGAGGTCTTTCTGCCTGAAGCTGAACGAAGACAGAAAATAATGCCATTCTACTGAGTGTATCGCAAGCCTTAAGAAAGCTGCACACCCTTTGACCCAGATATGGATTGATCTACACTATAATGCTGAGGGGGAAAAAGCAAAGTGAAGAACAATGTGTATAATATGACACCATTTGTATAAAAAAGGGAAATAATATCAACATGTATTTGCTGATATGTGCATAAAATATCTCTAGGAGGTTATATAAGATATCAATGACACATCTCTGAAGAGCACAATTTCCTAGCAATTTAAGAAATAATTGAACAAATACACAAGAATAGGTAGTAACTAAGTTTAAGATCTGTTACATTATGATACTTTACACAATGGAATCTTAAAATGGCAGCCATTATAATGATAACATCATATATAGACATTCTGTATTAAAAGCTGTTCATACTTGGAAAAGATTGGTTACCAGAGAATATGAATGCTATGATCCTATTTTTGTTAAATTTTATATATACATATATAGCATACATATGGATATATATCACAAAATCAACTGGTTACACGTAATACTAGGATCTTTATTTTTTCCTTGATGTTGTATTTATCTTGTTTTTCTTTTATAATAAAAATACAATAAAGCTAAATATTAAAAAACAAACATCCCTGGGTGGTTCAGTGGATTGAGCACCGGCCTGCAAACCAAAGGGTCACAGGTTCAATTCCCAGTCAGGGCACATGCCTGGGTTAGCCCAGGTCTCCAGTTGGGGGGCATGTGAAAGGCAACTGATAGATGTATCTCTTACACATCAGTGTTTCTTTCCCTTCCCCCCTCTCTAAAGATAAATAAATAAAACCTAAAAAAACCCCAATAACTTGAATAACTCTTTGCAGCCCTCCTGCCCCACCACACAAGAACCCCTCCCCCTCATGGCACCACACTCCCAGAACCCATCCCCCTCCAGTGCTCTCAACTCCTGCCCAAAAGAGCATCAGTCCAAGGCCCTTAGCAAGAAGTCCCTGGGAGCACTGGCAGCCATAAGCAGGAGGATCAAGCTTCCTCAAAACACTCCTATCACCTGACTCTACTGGATAAGGAAAGGGGACCGAGGTCCAGGACGCTTCTTACTCCTGATCCCACGGAAGGTGTGAAGTGAGGGTGAGGGAGGTTAAGCCTTTGTTCTATCCTACCAGCATTTTTCCCATGGCAATTATTTGGGGAAAGTGGGGAGGGGGCAGTCGATCAGGAGCTAGAGGGCTTATTCTTTAAAGTTAAAATATTCCATGTCTCCTTGAGAAGAGGCTGATGGAAAAGTACAGCATAAAAATTATCATTGATAAACAAATAATACCTATTGGTCTGTTACCTGTCAGGACAGGGACTCCAGTGGTGGTGAGGTAGTGCTGTGTCTGTCTGGCTACTTTAATTATGGTGTGCATGTCTTTCTGAAAGTCATCAGTAGATGTCAATGACAGGGGAGATGGTCCACTTCCTGTTCCTGCTATAACAGAGCAGGGGCTACTTGGATAGTGTCTATGTTGACTTCTGGGGAGGGCAAAATTTCCTGCTCTGCTCCGTCTGCGTCTGGGAGAAAAGAGGCTCAGCCACTAAGTGTTCTTAGGTAGTGGGGCCTGAGAGGCAGAATAAGAGCCCAAGATAAGAGAGAGAGAGCGAGCCCTTTAGATCAGTAAGGCTGAGCAGCAGAAATGATAGATCTGAGGGGCTCTGGTTTGGGAAATCTGCGTCTCATTATTCCACACTCCCCTATTACAAAGATTTTCCTAATTCAACACCCAATTGGAAAACCACCTTTTTTCACAAATTAGGGAGCCCTGATAACGCACACACTCAACACTTACGTAAACGACACACACACGTACCTGCGTACCAATAATACAGGCACATCACACATTACACGGCCAGGACACGCCGAAACACAGACACAACACACTGACAGACCCAAGTACAGCAAGACTCGAAGCATGAGGCTGTTGCATATCCACGCATTCCCTAAAACATACGCGAGGACCGGGGAGGAAAGGGAAGGAGAGGTTGGGTGATGCATTCATGGCCCTGCACTCAGACACGTGCACCGAGAAACACTCCGCGCATCTACGTTCCCAGTTAGGTACGCACCTCGGACAGGCACCATCCCGAAGACCGACCTGACCAAGCGCCCTGCCCGGGCGATGGCATTTTACCGCTTGAGCGCGGCGGACCCAAAGCCCCGAATTTAAAGGAAAAGGCATCGCAGGCTAGTGAGCGAGGAGAGGAGAGATGCGCTCCCGAGGAATGGGACTTGGGAGCTAGTGAGTGGGAGCCTGTTCCCTACCCGTCGCGCAAGCCTTACTGATCCAGGTGCTGCGGCTGGTGGCTGTGCGGCTTCTCCCTGCCCTGCGCCGCGGCCTCACTGAGGTGGTGCCGGACGCGCCCGCCAAGGAGGGGGCTCCGGCTCAGGTGACCCCAGCCTCCCCGCCGGCAGTGACTGCCGGCCCTGCTCAGAGCATTCTGCAGAGCCCTCATGGAGCGCATCCAGAGCACCCAGGGCGTCTGAACAGCGGTTGGAAGGAGAAGCGGAGGAATCGGAGCGAGGACAAGTAGGGGGAGCTCTGTGGTCGAGTGCGAAGCCCGGGAGGTGTAGGAGAGTTGGGGCCTGCTGGGTGGGATTGTGGCAGGAGGAGGAGCCTGACCCTATAGGGCTCCAACCACTGTCAAGAACACTCAGAACCCACTGGACAGAGGAAGGGTCAGGTGTCCCGGGTTAGGGTGGAGGGCGCCTTAGTGCGGGGTGAGAAGAGGTCGGTGCCTGTGAGTTGGGATGAATAATGCCGAGGCCCAATCATTGAGGAAGCAAAAGACTTGAGGGCGGGGAAAAGAGGAACCTACCCAATGAGTACAAGGAGGTGGGCCGGCCTCAGATGCCTGCGGATTCTTGGGGGCTGAGACTCACTGGGGTCTGCTGGCGGTTCGTACAGACACTGAGGGCGGGAAACATGTGACTGGGGCGTTGCAAGCCTGGGGAGCTCCGCGGGGTCTCAGCGGAATCAGAATGATGGAATTTAGAGAAACAGTGGTAACTCTCCACACTCGGATAAAAGTAAACCCTGTTCAAGAGGTCATTGAGCAACCTTCAAAGGTCAGAATTGGCCCTTAGTAACCGCCTCCTAGTGCGGAGTAGAGACCAAATACCTAGTCTTTGGCACGCGGTATTGGTGAGTGAGGAGTCAAACGGCCAGAAAATATCCCGACCAGAAACAGCTTCCTAGGCACTTCGATGAGGTCCTGAGACTGCGAAAAGGTCACCCTGGTGGTTGCTAGGATGTCTGGGTTCTCTTATCTCTACAATTATTTGGTAACTGCTTAGGAATTGGGTGGTCTTAACGCTAAGCCCTTAAGCATTTTATAAACCATTATATACTCCCAGAGTTTTACCTATTTTAATTTCTTGCTCCTGTGTTCCTCATTGAACACTCATTCAGCACATGCAGGAATTTTATCATTTGCAGCTAGAACATTCACCTGCATTTTCACAAGGCCTAACACAGCATCTTTATTTAGTAGAGGCTCATGTAAATAAGAGCTATTATCTAGTGTTTATGGTGTGCCAGCCACTACATAGTCTATCTCTTCCTCCTACCAGAGACCTACAAAAGTAGTTATTAGTTTTGTTTTGAAGATGAAGAAACTCAGACTCAGAAATTATGACTTCTTCGAATAAGATAACCTAGTTAATAAGTAGTGAGGCCAGGAATCAGACTCAAGTCTCTGACTACAAGTCTCTCTCCATTGTTCAGCTAGCTCTTCCCAAAATTAACTGTTGAATTGAATTATCCCAGGAAATTACCTCATCCCCAAAGAAAGCATTATGGCACAGTGTCTAGAGGCTGGCTGTATCACAGAATAATCACTTTTTAATTTTGGATTAAAATGAGCTCAAGGGTAACTATGGGAAAATAATTATGAAAGCTATACTCTAGTCCTGGCCGGACAGCTCAGTTGGCTGGAGCATTGTCCCTGTGCATCAAGGTTGCAGGTTTGATGCCCTGTCAAGGCACATACAAGAAGCAACCAGTGGATGCAGCAGTAAGTGGAACAACAAATCAATTCTCTCTCTCTCTCCTAGATCAATTAAAAACAAAAAACCAAACCCACCCTGACCAGTGTAGTTCAGTTGGTTGGGTGTTGTCCTGCAAAGCAGAGTTGCCAGTTCAATTCCTGGTCAGGGCGCATGCTTAAGTTGCAGGTTCAGTCCTAGTCAGGGAACATATGAGAGGTAACTGATCAGTGTTTCTCTCTCTCTCTTTCTCCCTCTCTTCTCCTCTCTCTAAACATAAATAAATAAAATCTAAAAAACAAACAAACAAACCCATAATCTGGTGCGTTCTGTGGAAAGGTAATTCTCCTTTGCCTTGGGTAGGGTTGGAGGGTTTATTTGGTTTGAAACAAGATGGAATGACCTTTCCTTAGTTTTTGTTTGTTTTTCCCTTGTGCAGTCATTCCCTATCTGCCCTATCTGTTGGCCTATGGGAAGGACTCTCTAATTCAGGGACTCCTGTTTGCCCTGGGCTGGCTCATGCATGGCTTTGCCCATTAAGATCTTTAAGAGAGTTCTGGGTCCTAACGCTTTGTATAAACTCAAGCCAACTTTAGTTTTTCCAAATATAACAGGTTAATCTTATCATTGTTTCCTAAGAATGTTATTTCTTTGAAGATTTTTGAGCTGCCAAGAGAAAGATAACATATGTTAGGGAATGTGTAAACATTACCTAGAAGTTATTTGTTTCCTTTTACTTCCTACTTCTGTTTTTTTGAATTAGCTTTAGTTATAATCTGTAATGAGTTCCGTACTCTTTCTCCCCAGTTCTTTCTAATAGTAGAAGCTGGTTGGGCAGTGAAGAAAATCTACCCATAGAAGGGGAGGTTGTTTGCATAGAGAGCTAGCCTCCAGAGGAACTGTGGCCTTTGGACTCCTTTTACTACAGTATTGATGCTTTTGCATGAGGATGGAGCATGAACCAGTGACTTGGGACCAGCCCTGTGTAAAGTATAAAATATTCAAGAAGAACAAGTTTGTCATCTCAGGTGGTTTGGCTTGGTAGGTCTTTTTTGTTGTTGTTGTTTCTGATTTGAAAAGGACCCAACTAGTCAAATCTGTGCAAAAGTATTGGCTAATTGTGACATGGCCAGCTGTAAATGAGGCTTTTCATAAGTGAAAGAAAACTCGTATATTTCCAATAGGTTTTTAGGTCAGTCCCTGGTTGTGCCAGAGTTTTGTGAGATATGGGGGGGAATTGGTCCTAATGACTTTAAATTCTTAAATCAGAAAAGCTAAATTCCTCCTTGACTGGTGTGGCTCAGTGGGTTGGGCATTGTTCTGCAAACTGAAAGGTCACCAGTTCAATTCCGGGTCAAGACACATACTTGGGTTTCAGGCCAGGTCCCTGATTGGGGGCAAGCGAGAGTCAGTTGATGGATGTTTCTCTCACATGTTAATGTTTCTCCCTCTTTCTCCCTGTTCCCCCCTCTCTCTAAAAATAAATGCAAGGTTTTTTTTTTTTTTTAAGCTAAATCCTCTGGTACAAAATTGGAAACTTAATGTTTGTGTTTGGAGAATGTTTTGTTTACTTGTTTACTTGTACTATGATTTAGAGACTCACTTATTCAGTTACTCCAAGTGAGTGATTATTTCACCTAAGTTATTTTTTTCATTAACTTTCATTCTGCTAATGTTACTATTGGTGCACACTCCTCCCTGCATTAGTTCCTCCACTTGTAAAGATAATCTGTTTTATTGGGTAAGTGGTGGGGGTTCTGATATAATCATCTTCCATTCATTTAATGAATATTATTTATTGGCTTACAGTGTGACAGGACCAGTGCTAGGGAATCCAGAAATGAAAACAAACAAACTAACAAATAGTTTCTGACTACTAGAAAAAATGAGAAAGTCAGTGTTTAAATTCCTAATGAAAAATGCTAAGATAAAGAGATAGGGAGAAGGAAGTATAAAGAAGGGGCACTTAATTGACTCAGGATAAGGGGCAGCTGAGAAAAAGGGGAAGGGGACTAAAGGAATGTTGGGTGATGGGAGCCAGCTCTTAAAGCATGAGAGCTGTTTATGAGGAGATGAAGAAAAAGGTGTTCCAGACAGAGAGGGCTCTGCAAGAACAAACAACAAAGAGAAACATTTGAGGGAGTCCAGAGTAGTGTGGTTGGAAGGAAAATTTGGTTGGGTGTGAGAATGTGTGAACCAGTGAAGTGGAAGATGTAGGTGGGGTCTGCATTCTGAAGAGTTTTCAACACTATGGTAAGAATATTCAACTATATTCCAAAGGCAGCTCCGTGGTCAACCTTTCAAAGCTTCTCTACTTCACTTAAGCTAACCAACCCACTGCTTCACAGAGAAGCCCTCAATTTTCTGCCATTCCATTTGTAAGTCTTCTCTATCCCTGCAGATACTGTTGAAGAGGAATCCTTTCTCATGCTCAGGTTAATGTTTCCACTTACTTTGCTCTATTTTTCAGCCTTTTCTTCTCTAATGATTCTATCCTTTAGCATTTAAATATTCTCAGGTCTCTGTCACCTTAAACAGTCATTATACTTTGACTCTTGGTATGAGTGTGATTACATTAAGATATATTCAAGTTAAGCAGCTTTATGCAATTCATATTTTTCATCCATATTGCTCTTAAAATAAAAATTGAGATATAGCCCTGACTCATGTGCCTCAGTTGGTTGGGCGTGGTCCCACAAAGCGAAAGACTGCTGGTTTGATCTCCAGTCAGAGCACATGCCTAGGTTGTGGGTTCTGTCCCAGTTGGGGGTGTGTGTGAGAGACAACCGATTAATGTTTCCCTCTCACAGCAATGGTTCTCTCCCTCCCGTTCTCCTTTCCTTCTCCTCTCTCAAAAAAAATTGATAAAAACAAAAAAATTGTGATGTAATCGCTTTATTTTGACTCTCATCTGTATTTCTTCTACTACCAACTTTTTTGAGAGAGAACGTTACACTTACCATGTTTTTATTCTGATTTCTCATTCATTCTTCCATAATGGTGAAACTACGCCGATGCTGCCATTGTATTGCTGTGGGTTTATGGGTTTTCAGAAGTTCATTGGAGTTGAAAGTTTAAATATATTAATCAAGTCCACCAAATAGATTAATATATTTAAAAATTGTTAAGACATCATTAGTAAGCAAATGTTTTGAATAGGACTTAGACTCTAGCCAGAGCACATGGTGTTGGTGCACATGTTTTAACTTGTTATTTAACTTCATGGAGTAGAGAAATTTCATATAACTTCAAATGTATATGATATATTCCAGTATGCTCTCCTAATGTTTCTTTGGTTTAGCAATTACAAAACCAAATTTTTGGACTTAAAAAGTATAAACATGAGCATGTAAAAAAAAATCACAACATATCATCACATTGGTTAGATTTATGATGCTTAATGAACATTTTCTATTTTACTAAATAATATCTTCTGTAATTTGTTTTCTCTGATGGTCATAAGAATAGATTTTAGGAAGTCTGAATCATTATAATATGCTAAGGAATGGAGATTTTTGCTAGAATCCCTAAAAATATTTAAAAAAATTTTTTGTAGACTAAAACTAATTTGAAAGAGTTTAAAACATCAAAAAAAAACCTTTCAGATTGTGGTTGATACCATTTTAGTACTTAAAAATGTGGAAGAGGTTTTAATCTTGTGTTACCATATAATGAACAAAATTATTCTCTAAAAGATTAGCTAAATTAATTTTTAACCACACTTATCTACTTAAACATTCCATAAGCCATAATTTCTCAAGATCTTACATAATTTGAAATTTTTACATCATCCACTTTTGCCTGTCAATTTACTAAAAGTTGTTGTTACAGCTTTCTGATGTTTTGGAAATTTTTAGATAAAACAATTTTAGTTTAACAAGTATATGTATAGTGACTACTACTTACTTAGGTAAGAGATTTCCAGGGCTAGGTATATTTATTCACTTATTTGAGTTTATTTTTCCAGTCCAGTTTAATTTAATTGATGAAAAATCACAGTAAAAATATAGAAGATGCCAAATAAATGTATAATGTATGACATGATTATTTGCTGTTTTGTGAGAATTATTAAATATAGACATTGGAAGAAAGTAATATTACATATAAATTGTCTATGATAGTTATAATACCAGTATTTGGTTTCAGACTTATCTGAAGTTTATCTTAGTTTTGTTTTGCACAATTCTCATTCCTCTGGAGCAAAATTTAAATAATTTAAAAACGATTTCAGGAATGTTATAGGATCAGAGTGTTTAACAGAACTTTTATTCAGCATATAAGCTCAAGCAGGGGTAAAATAGGTCATAAAACTTATTAATTAGCCAACTCATTACTGAAGCCATTTTTTTACAGTTTTGCTTATTCAACTGGTTCAAAATTCAAAAGGTACAAAAGAGTATGTAGTGAAATAACTCTCCTGTTTCTGTCTCTGTGTTCTAGACACCCACTTTCTCTCCCCAGAGGCAAATTTTGTTACCGGTGTTCTATATATCCTTCCAGATATATTTTATTCATTTCTAAGCAATTACATATTTTCTCTTTTACACAATTGGTAGCATACTGCAATATAAGCACTGTTTTGTATTTTTTCTTTAAAACCTTTTTCCCTGTACACCTGGAAAACCTTCCAAATCACTACATACTGTGCTTCCTTTTATAGCTATGTGGTATTCCTTTGTCAGGATGTATCATTGTTATTTTAGAAGTCTCCTATTGGTGAATATTTGCATTGTTTTCCATCTTTTGTTGTAATTAGAGTGACCGTATTTCCTGGCTTGCTTGGGACAGTCAGGTATGCCAATTATCCCAGCTTAAATATTAATAGTTCCCTCTTTCTCTTATAAAACTGTCTTGTCATTCTGCAGGTTTGCAAAGATAACTGTAGGAGGAATTCCTAGAAGTAGAATTGCTGAGTCAAAAGGTACATATTTGTTTTTTGTTTGTTTGTTTGTTCATTTGCCATTCCAGTAAATGTAAAATTGTCTCAGTGTTGTTTTTATTTTATTTTTAAAAAATTATAAATGAGGTTGAGCATCTTTTTATTCAAGGTCTGTCCAGAATATATTCAACCATGTAATATGAAAACAGGGACATTTATTGAAGGAGATACAAGATACAAGAAACTTTGTACATAGGACAATGATGCCTCAGTCCCCTTCAAAGTAGGCACCTTGAGACCTCACACAGTTCTCCCAATTGCCATCAGCTGCCGCCTCGTATTATCCTGAGTCTCATCAACAATCTGAAATGTCTTCCCTTTCAAAGGTGATTTTAGTTTTGGGAAAAGCCAGAAGTCACAGGGCACCAAATCTGGGCTATAGTGGGGATGAGTTACTTGGATAATTTGGTTTCAGATTTATCTGAAGTTTGTCTTAGTTTTGTTTTGCACAATTCTCATTCCTCTGGAGCAAAATTTGCCAAAATTGCCAAAAAACTGCAGGACATGCATGCATGAGCTGCTGCATTATTGTGATAAAGCTGCCAATCACCAGTTGCCCATAGCTGTAGCCTTCTGAATCATTCAGTAGTTTCCGCGGAGGAATGTTCAAGCTTAACACAAAATGTGATGCAGGTTTGCTGCTCTACTCGCTCAGTCATTTTGAATACTATGGCCACACAGTACACATGCTCACTAAACAGTGTCTACCACCCCCACTGACTAGTACAGTGAAGTTGTCATTGTTCATGCATGTGCATTCCAGTCCATCCTCCTTGGCTGCCAGATTACATAGCTGTTGCACAAACTGTTTGCATTATATTATCAATGGCTGGACTTTTTTTGTTGACAAATCTTATATGTTTAACAGCCATCGTATTTCCTTTTTTATGAATATTCAAATACTGGTTATTAGAGTTTTGATATTGATTTGTATGAAGAGGAACTCTTCATATATTTTGGAAATCAGCCTGTTGTGAAATGAGTGTCATGCTTTTCCCTCCCCATCCTGATTTATAAATGTGACTTTTAGTTTTCCTTTTGTGTTTTTTGCCATGTAGGAACTTTTTTTATCATTATGCAGTCAGATTTCTCAATTTGTACTTTCTATTCAATGAATATCATCAAAACCCATTATTCAGCTGTAAACTCACATTGAATCTTTTATTTCCTCATCCTTCATACCCTATGACAGGTCTCAAATTCATCTACTTTTCCCCATTTCCATTGCTGCTGTCCTAGTTGAGCTTCTTAACTCAGATCTCTCTCCTATCGGTTTCATTCACTTCCAATCTTTTCCTTTTTTTTTTTGAATCTTCACCTGAGGATAGGTTTTTATTAATTTGAGAGAAACGTCGGGGATTGAACCCGCAACCTAAGTACATGTCCTGACCAAGAATCAAGTCCACAACTTTTTGGTGTACAGGATGACACTCCAGCCAACTCCACCACCCGGCCAGGACCAATCTTTTCTTTACAGTGTGGCCACAATGATCTTTCAGAACTGCAAATCTTGTTATGTTATGTTTTTTTATAACCCACTAGTGATTTCTCAACTCTAACATAATTGAAAATACAGTAAAAAATGAATAGGGGCAAGAACAAATGAGAGATGAAGATACTTAGTCGGCAAATGCAGATTACTCTTGACCATGGGGAACATTAAAAAAACAAGAACTAGAGAAGAACCTAGAGTTCAAGGGAAGGATTTTTGTTTGTTTTGTGGTTATTAAGATAAAGTGTGTCTTTGTTTTGTTTTGTTTTGTTTTAGGATAATTATCAATGTGCTAGTGAGGGAAACCAGTGGAGATGAAAAGGCTGAAAGATGGTAGCTGAATATTACATGCTAAGAATATGAGGGAGAAAGTGAGGTAGAATGCTTGAGAATGATACATTTTTAGAATAGTGCTTCTAGAGACTAAGAGAGAACACTAGTGTGGGAAATATCTAACAGCTTGCTGAGATTAGGGATTTTATAGTTTAAACATTTATGCAGAAAATAATACAAATAGTTTTATGTGGAAGTGCTATGAAGCCTTCAAAGAACAGATAATCCCAAACTTATATACTTTGTTCCAAGAAATAGAAAAAAAGAGAAAACTTAAAAATTTGTTAGGTTACTATAAAATGCAAAACAAAAACTAGGTAAGGATAGTATAAGAAAAGTTAATTATAAAGACACAAAGGCAAAAGTATTTATCCCAAGAATGCTAGAATGGATTAACAACAGAAAATATGTATAATATAACACATGAACAGATTAAGAGAGAAAATTTATTTGATCCTCCTGATCATTGCAGAAAATTATTTGGTAAAATTAAATACATGTTCATTTTCAAAGCTCTTAGCAAACTAGACAGGAGAAGGAACATTCCAATAAACCTGATAATGATTTTCTCAGGAATAAGGTCCTGTATCACAGATTTAGCATTCTGTTAAGTTTTTTTTTAAGATTTTATTTATTTATTTTTAGAGAGGGAGGGGAGAGAGAAAGAGAGAGAGAGAGAAACATCAATGTGCGGTTGCTGGGGGTCATGGCCTGCAACCTAGGCATGTGCCCTAACTGGGAATTGAACCTGCAATGCCTGGTTCGCAGCCCGCACTCAATCCACTGAGCTACACCAGCCAGGGCCTATTAAGTATTTTATTGGACGTTTTATTGTCCAATAAGACAAGAAAGAGAAATAAATGGTAAGGATTACAAGAAAAGAAACAAAATTAGCATTGTTTACAAATGACATTTATGGGGAAAATCTACATGAATCCACAGGTAAATTTTTGGGACTAATAAGAGAGTAAACAAAGTTCCCAGGTAAAAGATCAGTATCCATAACTCAATAGTGTTCCTTTTAATGTTCCATCAACATTAAAAGCTGAGAAGTACATGTGAACAAAACTAATACAGGATGCATAAGAATTTTATGGTAAATTTATATATATTTTATGTATACCATACATTGCAAATTTTAAGATGGTTCCCATGACCCGTGCCTGCTGCTATTCACGCCCTTATGTAATCCTCTCATCTTGAGTATGAACTGGACTTGTGATTTGCTTCTGACAAATAGAATATAGCAAAGGTGGCTCTCCCTTGTTGGTTCCATGTGAGCTGCCCTGAGGAGAGGGCCACATAACCAGGAACTGCACCCAGCAAAAAACTGAGGCCCTCAGTCCTACAGTCTGCAAGGAACTCAATGCTGCCCAAACTCATGTCACAGAAGTGGCTCCTTCCTACCTGGAGCCTGAGATGAGAACTCAGCCCTGGCCAACACTTTGCAGCCTAGGTAGGCCATGCCTAGATATTTGACTCATAGAAACTGGGAGGTAATAAACATGTGTTGTTTTACACCACTAAGTTTGCAGTAATATTGTTATGTAGCAATAGATAACTTATGCACTGTGTTAAGTGGAGGGGAAAACTCACTATCAAAAAGACGGAGGCTTTCCTTAAAGTAATTTATAAATTTAACACAAGTCCGTTCAAAATCTCAATAGCATTTTGTACAGAATTCGCAGGAATCCTAAAATTTTTATGGAAGAGAAAACAGCTGAGAGAAGCCAAGATTGATTTGAAAAAGATTGACGAAGGGACTGGACTTCCCTATAGCATATCATCCAAACTTTATAAAGCTATGTGGTAAAGATATGCCAAACTGTTTTCCAAGGTGGCTATACCATTTGACATCCCCACCAACAGTGTATAAGGCTTCTAGTTTCTCCTGCATCCTCCTCAGCACCTATTATTGTGATTTTTATTATAGCAATTCTAATGGATGTATATTAGTATCTTATTGTGGTTTTAAAAATATTTTATTCATTTATTTTTAGAGAGAGGGGAAGGGAGGGAGGAAGAGAGGGAGAGAAACATTGATGCGAGAGAGAAACATCCATTGGGGTTGTTTCTTGCACCCTGACCCACAGGGACCAAACACACAACCCAGTCATGTGTCCTAACTGTTAATCAAACCTGTGACCTTTCTTTTTGCAGAGGACACCCAACCAACTGAGCCACTCTTGTCAGGACTTATTGTGGTTTTAATTTTTATTTCTTTAATGCCTAATGCTTCTGAGCACCTTTTCATGTGCTTTTTGTTATTTGGATGTCTTTGGTGAAATGTCTGTTCACATCTTTTGCCCAATTTTAAATTGGGTTATTGCCTTACTGTTGAGTTATAAGACTTCTTTATATATTCTTGATACAAGTCTTTTATCAGATATGCAATTTCCAGTATTCCAGCCATTGGCTTGTTTTTCATTTTCTTAACGGTATCTTTTGAAAGTCAAGTGTTTTAAATTTTAATGAGATCCAATTTATCATATTTTTCTTTTATGGCTTATGTTTTTGGTTGTAGTGTCTAGGAACTCTGCTAGCTTGTCATGAAGAATTTCTCCTATTTTTCTTCTAAAAGACTATAGTTTTAGCTTTTACATTTAATTCTGTGATCCATTCTGAATTAATTTTTGTGAATGGTATGAGGTAAAGGCATAAGTTTCGTTTTTGTTTTTGTTTTGCATGTGGATATCCAATTATCTCAGCCCTGTTTGTGGATAAATTCTTTCCTCATTGAATTATGTTGGCACCTTTGTTGAAAATTAACCATAAATATAAGTCTCTCTCAATTCTGTTCCATTGATCTACACACATTCTTTCATTTACTTTAGATTTGTAATAAGTTTTGAAACCGATTCCTATAAATCTTTCAACTTTGTTCTTTTTTAAATTTGTTTTCGATTTCCTAGATCCTTTGTGTTTCTTTTTCTTTTCTGATTCAGAAAGTTAGATTTGTAAGTTTTTAAAAATTGATTGATTTTGAGAGAGAGTAAGAAACATTGATTGTTGTTTCACTTACTTATGCTTTCATTGGTTGATTCTTGTATGTGCCCTGACCAGGTGTGCAACTTCCGCACATCCAGATGACACTCTAACCAACAGAGCTACCCTGCCAGGGAGGTCCTTTGCATTTCCATCAACTTGTCAAGTTCTA